GGCAGAGGTGTGTTACATCTGTTTAATCCTGGCAGTGGAGTAATTTGTATATAATCCTGGCAGGGGTGTGTTACATCTGTTTAATCCTGGCAGTGGAGAATATGTGTATAATCCTGGCAGAGGTGTGTTACATCTGTTTAATCCTGGCGGTGGAGTAATTTGTATATAATCCTGGCAGTGGTGTGTTACATCTGTTTAATCCTGGCGGTGGAGTAATTTGTATATAATCCTGGCAGTGGTGTGTTACATCTGTTTAATCCTGGCAGTGGAGTAAATTGTATATAATCCTGACAGAGGGGTGTTACATCTGTTTATCCCCACAGTGTGGAGGAGGGTACATATGTTTAACCCTGACAGAGGGGTGTTACATCTGTTTATCCCCGCAGTGTGGAGGAGGGTACATATGTTTAACCCTGACAGAGGGGTGTTAGATCTACTTTTGTACAACTTTGTAAATTAACATAGTTATGCAGTTTCTCCCACGGTAAAGGATGAAACGTACATTAGTTCCCATTTCCTCTTTGTGAATAGATACCTTATGTATAATTTATAGTCTACTTGATAAAAAAAAGCTTCATGGTTTTTTGGACAGGTGCTTTCAACAATAATATGTGAGCCTGTGTGAGGCTTTTCATGATGGCCTAGTCAAATATGTAATATGAATAGCGACATGTAATAAAATGTGGCCTTGCCCTGACACAGGTAATACTTTATGAACATCGGGAATTTAGCCCACAGGTGAATCAGTGACCAAGTAAGAATGTCATCACACAAACACTCAAACAACACCCACACAAACTCAGGTAGGAATATGTCATCACATAAACACCCCGGTAACATTGATACAACAGGTGATAGGACAATTACGATTCAGGTGATACGACAACTATCACTCCAGGGTCTTAAAATTGTTCCATCGAGTGATCTTAGCGCTAAGATCATTGTAAGCCTATGTTAAAGTATGGGAGTTACAATCACCTTAGCGCTAATATCACTTATATATCTTAGCGCTAAGATTGTTGTAAGCCTATGCTAAAGTATGGGAGTTACAATCACCTTAGCGCTAATATCACTTGTATATCTTAGCACTAAGATCATCATAAGCCTATGTTAAAGTACGGGAGTTACAATCACCTTAGCGCTAATATCACTTATATATCTTAGCACTAAGATCATCATAAGCCTATGTTAAAGTATGGGAGTTACAATCACCTTAGCGCTAATATCACTTTGTGGAACGGGGCCGGGGTCTCTTGTAACGTGTGCAGTGAGTGATGCTGTCACATCCCCAATACCGACCTCCCACCTCCGGCTGAGGATGCTGAGAAGGTGTTCATGGTTCATTAGGGCAGTTTATGACTTGAAGGTTGCCGTGACAACATCACAAGAGGAAACACGTGCAATATGCAAATACCAGCAAAGGGAAGTCTTGCAACTAAATGCCACACATTACCGATACATATCACACCTCGTATGACGACAATGCATTCTTGACACACCAGTGGCCACCCAGAATGTGAACTACTTGTACATATATATACATGGTACCCTCGGTACAGACATGATGACCCAGGTAAGGATATGATAACCCATGTTAAGGTGTAAAAACACAGGTAAGGATATGACAACCCAGACAAACATGATAACCCAGGTAGAGATATAACCTGGGTAAAGATATGATAATCCAGGTAAAGACATGATAACTCATGATAACTCAGGTAAGGATGCGATAACTCAGGTAAAGATATGATAACCCAGGTAGAGATATGATAATTCAGGAAAAGATGTAATAACTCATGATAACCCATGTAATAATATGATAACCCATGGGTACAGACATGATGACTCAGGTACAGACATGATAACCCAGGTACAGACATGATAACCCAGGTACAGACATGATAACCCAGGTACAGGCATGATAACCCAGGTACAGGCATGATAACCCAGGTACAAACATGATAACCTGGCCAGGTACAGACATGATAACCCAGGTACAGACATGATAACCTGGCCAGGTTCAGACATGATATCCCAGGTACAGACATGATAACCCAGGTCAAGATAAGCAAGTAAAACGTTCATCAGCTAAATATTACTTCCAATAACGCTGATCGTTATGGTAATATCATGATTGACTTTACTTGTACATTAACCCCAGGGAGCAGGTCAATGAGAAAAAAAATCCCGATCAATTGACATCCCGAGTCAACAGTTCTCTGTATAAAGAACCACTAAGACAGACAGGCATTATATGACAACTCTAGATTGTTCGCTACTGACAATCACACTGAAGTATCAATACATGGACATAAGTCACGTGGCCATGTTGAAACCACCTGCACTTCCCTTCCAACTGAGATCATTGTATAGAATAATTTGATATTGCTAGGAACAAAACATAAGAAATTGCATGGCAGGAGATATGTAATTTGCCTGTCGACTTCAAAAGGCATTAGCTCAATATTTCCGTGTTCCTGATCTGCTACATTGATTGTTTAAATTACCTTGAAGATGAGGTTGTGTCATAATGCACACAGAGGGTGGTGGTATAGACATGTGATGAGCCCAGTAATAGCAGGAGTGTGGAGGATGTGATGGGTATTTGTCCTGAGTATGGGATATTATTCTGCTCGTGTAGTGGACGTGATTACAGATACGTGACAGATTGCCGTGATTAGGTCGATGTTGCCGTCGTAGACGTCTTTCTCAGTGATGACTCTGTTCTCCGCACTCCCATCCTTACAATTGTAGGCTTTAAATGTGAAACTACAACAACTTACTCCAAACGGGAGCAGTGTTGTCCACACTCCCATCCTTACAAGTGTAGGCTTTAAATGTGAAACTACAACAACTTACTCCAAAAGGGAGAAGTGCTGTCCGCACTCCCATCCTTACAAGTGTAGGCTTTAAATGTGAAACTACAACAACTTACTCCAAAAGGGAGCAGTGTTGTCCACACTCCCATCCTTACAAGTGTAGGCTTTAAATGTGAAACTACAACAACTTACTCCAAAAGGGAGAAGTGTTGTCCGCACTCCCATCCTTACAAGTGTAGGCTTTAAATGTGAAACTACAACAACTTACTCCAAAAGGGAGCAGTGTTGTCCGCACATCTTATGATTGTATAGGTCAACTTTGGTTGAGGGAGTTTGGGTCTGTCTTTACCCCATGTTGTACTCTTATGTACTTATGAGCATCTGCCTCCTTGTCTCTCTGACAAATCCCCTTTTGTTAAGCCCCTAACAGTCACAGTGGTGGTTTTTGTAGGATAGTGACACACCCAACTGGTAAAGTATAGTTCACCGTGTTTGAGTGCAGGTGAGTGAGTTGGGTTTTACGCCGCTTTTAACAGTATTCCAGTTATATCACGGTGTGTCAGCTTAATGTGGGAGGAAAGCCCGAAGTGATGCAGGTCTCAGACGTTTACCGCTTCGGTGAAACCCACGAGCATGGGTATGGTGCTGACAAACCTAGAAACATAATCAGGGCGAACCTGGATTCGAACCCACAATCATAGGTTTCTGGTGTGCCAAAGGGACGCAACTCTGCACAGAGAACCGTGGTGCTTTAGACGACTCGGCCACCCCTGCCCCCGTAACCGTGTTTGAAAAAGAGGGAGGTGATCTGTAATCAAACCAGAAACACTGTGTTCCTGTGATGTTCTTGGTACCATTACAGACCTGTTATGTGTTCGATACCTGTAACAATGGGTACTATGGGGTTGTAACATTGCATTCTATTCAGCTGTAGCAGCTGTAACAGTGTTCATGGGAACTGAAACATTTTACTAGAGAGCTGTAACATTGTTCTAGGGAGCTGTAACAGTGTTCATGGGAACTGTAACAGTGTTCATGGGAACTGTAACATTGTACTAGGGAGGTTTAACATTGTTCTAGGGAGCTGTAAGAGCTGTAACAGTTCTCATGGGAACTGTAATATTGTTTTATGGAGATGTAACAATGTTCTAGGGAGCTGTAACAATGTTCTATGGAGATGTAACAATGTTCTATGGAGATGTAACAATGTTCTAGGGACATGTAACAATGTTCTAGGAGGCTGTAACAATGTTCTACAGAGATGTAACAATGTTCTAGGGGGCTGTAACAGTGTTCTACAGAGATGTAACAATGTTCTAGGGACATGTAACAATGTTCTAGGGGGCTGTAACAGTGTTCATGGGAACTTTAATATTGTTTTATGAAGATGTAACAATGTTCTAGGGGGCTGTAACAGTGTTCTACAGAGATGTAACAATGTTCTAGGGACATGTAACAATGTTCTATGGAGATGTAACAATGTCCTACAGAGATGTAACAGTGTTCTAGGGGGCTGTAACAGTGTTCATGGGAACTGTGACATTGTTTACTGGAGATGTAACAATGTTCTACAGAGATGTAACAATGTTCTAGGGGGCTGTAACAGTGTTCATGGGACTTTAATATTGTTTTATGAAGATGTAACAATGTTGTAGGGAGCTGTAACAATGTTCTACAGAGATGTAACAATGTTCTAGGGGGCTGTAACAGTGTTCATGGGACTTTAATATTGTTTTATGAAGATGTAACAATGTTGTAGGGAGCTGTAACAATGTTCTACAGAGATGTAACAATGTTCTAGGGGGCTGTAACAGTGTTCATGGGAACTGTGACATTGTTTACTGGAGATGTAACAATGTTCTAGGGACATGTAACAATGTTCTACAGAGATGTAACAATGTTCTATGGAGATGTAACAATGTTCTACAGAGATGTAGCAATGTTCTAAAGAGATGTAACAATGTTCTACAGAGATGTAACAATGTTCTACAGAGATGTAGCGATGTTCTATGGGGCTCTAATGAGTTCATGAGAACTGTAACAATATTCTATGAGATGTAACATTGTGTTCTATGGAGCAGGAACAGATGTAACATAGTGTTTAGGGAACTGTAACATTCATTCAAGGAAGCTCTCACATTGTTTTCGTTGGAGCTATATTGTGTTTCTGTTGTGTTCCAGGGAGCTGTAACAATGCTGTGTGTTTCAACGGAGGTCAGTGCAACGGAGGGTACAGCCAGTCCTGCGCCTGCCCACAAGGATTTCAGGGACCTCGATGCCAGTACGGTGAGTACCTTACCTCTCTCTCCATGGGCTGTCCTATACTCTAGTCCCCATGTGTGTACAGCACAGCATGGTGGCGTTCATGTCATACCCATGTGACAATGTATGATGCAAGTCGGCTCCACAGGAGAGGGTCTTGCTCCGGGAGATGATGTCCACCAGGTGTTCCCGTAGCCAGACCCTCCTTAAAGAGCTCCTGTAACACTGTAACAACACCAGTGCAGGAAACTACGCCAGGAAACTACGTCGACGACCTTGTTCCACAAACTGGCCATGTCACAATATAACTGCTCAGCTCTCTTCCTCAGGGCCATCCTAGTGGGTTTATTTACACACAGTCACACACGCCTACACACACTTACACACGTCTACACACACTTACACACATGAAACTCAACCGTGATATACATGACCGTACAAGTCCACATGGTGAGGGACTACTGGTCTTCTATAATAAACAATAAACAATATTTTATATGTGTGTTAATAACCTGTCAAGGTAAGTGACATTGTTTCTTTGCATATTTATATATTATCAGTGACAGTTTCAAATCTGTAATACGATTTCCGACAGCCAGTTAATATTTGCATAATGAGACTTACATATAAAATATTTTACATAAAGGTTCAGAAAATCAAATACAGGATCCATATCTACTATTGAACCATACAATTATGGCGGATCCAGAGGGAGGGTCCAGGCAGATCCAGAGGGAGGGTCCAAGGGGTCCAGAACCCTCTTTTGACAACCAGATATATTGTAGGCAGTTATATTTTCTAGAGAGAGGATTTTAATATTTTGAACCCCTTCCTTTTCCCAGTGCTGGATTCCCTTAGATGTTGTACCCACACTTACACATACATATATACACAAACAGTCAAGTCTCGTTAATCCGACACTCGTTAATCCGACAGTCGCCTTTATCCGACACTAATGATTGGAACCGATTAAATCAGTGCTATTTAGACCCGTTAATCCGACAGTCTCACACTCCAAGTCCGACACAACTAATTTACAACGAATTACCGAAATCACTCATTAATCAGTCTCGTTAATCCGACACAGTGGTCAGGGTACGTCAACTGCCCGCGAGTACAAGGCCCGTGTTTTGATGCGAGACGAGTCTTAAGCTTTGCGGTACCAGTTTCAAACTTGCGACTTCCATTCCAGATTATGTGTAGTGAGTGAGTATGGTTTTACGCAGCTTTTAGCAATATTCCAGCAATATCACGGCAGGGGTCACCACAAATGGGCTTCACACATTGTGCCCATGTCGGGAATCGAACCCGGGTCTTCAGCGTGATGAGCGAACGCTTTAACCACTAGGCTACCCGACCGCTCCTCAGGCTATGTTTAACGAACGTTGATACTACATAATTTCGTTTATCCGACATACTTGTTAATCCGCCATAATCATATGCAACCAACCATGTCGGATTAACAGGACTTGACTGAATATGCAGTTCCTATGTTGTCTAGTACAAAGTGTTACATGATTTATTCAGTTTTGATATTTTTTTCAGCAAAATGTCTGTTTTGAGGGGTTTTAGCCCTGACAATGTAGTTAACAAGCACAGCTCTGACAGTCTATGAAAACATCACTGTAGGTCAGTTATCATCGTTTTAAGAAATATGAATAGCACTACGTCAGCTGCTTGCTGCAGGTAAAAATATCTTGTTTCTAGAATAAACAGTTTCTTTGCTTTACACTTTGTTCTTACAAACATACCATGATATCAGTTCCTTAACATTCCATGCAAGGTCATAGCAGCGAGTGCCAGAGATACCAAGACAAATTTTGGTGAGAAAATAAAGCAAGTTATCTGCACAAGGTTATCCGTTCTGTACAAAAAGATGGTTATCTTTATGCCTGCATTAACTGGATCAAGTGCATATATTTAGGGTAGGTTACATGTATTAGGGGGATCTCCAACCTGTATCTAGTATTCTTAGCATCTAGCCAGTTCCTCAAAACGTTATCAGACTATCTAGGTTGATTGTGATGGACAATCTTCCACCTGTATCAAGCATACTTAGCATCTAGCCAGTTCCTAGATTTACTCTCAGTCTCTCTCGTTGGATGGTGATTTTTAAATTGTTGTTTAGGTTTTCAATAAATGTGATTTTTTTCAATTTTTGGGGGAGCCCATGGCACTTTATCAAATAAAGAAACTTTCAAGTTTCTATGAGGTCTTTAAGACTAAAATGGATCTTACCACTTGTAACATGGCTTTTAAAATTGTAGAATTTCTGTTTTAATGTTCGAGCAGTGTGTTTCAACAGGAACCTTGTGAAGACATATTGTCTTTCTGAACTACCTCAACCTGTGTCTAAAACATTCAGAAAGGAATTTAGGGGCAGATGAATCATTGTAGGTTTTAGTGAGACTATCCCAGACTAATACAACACATGTGTTTAAGCCCTGAGAGCCAAGACGACTTTCACATCCCCAGTAATGAGTTCGTGTTCCCAAACTGCTACGAACATTTAATTAATGGGATACAATCATTAGCACGGCAGTAATCAGCGTTGTGTCACACTAATGCTGTGCTGATGGTATCGGGTGCATTCGTCAGTAACCAACATGAGCGGAGTCCATGGACCATTCTCATCATCTTCATGTAATTAGTCACTTCAAACAGAAAAAATACATTATATACTCAGTGTGAAAAGACTTCGTTTTCTGAAGTTGAGAAAAGTGATATTTTCGTTGTAGTGAACATAACTCTTTGACGGAACTATTGTCATACAAGAGTTACCTCCCCGCAAATTGTCTCCCTTTAATGTAGGTGCCTGGACCGTACACAAACTGTTGATTTCCTTTTTACATAAGTTCCACATTAACAAGGCAAAATAATTACAGATGGTCATTTATGGAGTTGATATCATGTCTGTCTGTTTTATTATTCTCGTGGAAATGTTTTGTTATAAACTGTACATTTTCCATTTAACTCGTAAATTGAGACTGTTTGTTTGCAAAGCACCATATTTGTTACTTGACCAACGTGTATTCCTTCGCTTCGAACAGCGGTCTCATAGCTTTCAAGAATATTTTTTTAAAGTTGATTTTGTATATAATCATATCCAAATGTATGATTAAGAATTTTAGTGACCTCAAATATCTTTTATTTTTTTAATGTTTTTTAAGATTTTGCAAACGCAGAAGTATTTATTAAGTCACAATTGCAAGGGGTGGTGAAACGTCACTGATGTTACACTAAAAAATGTATGACAAAGAATTTTAGTGACCTCAAATATTTTTTATGACTTTTATTTATGTTTTTTTAAGATTTTGCAACCTCGGAAGTACTTATTAAGTCACAATTACAAGGGGTGGTAAAAACAAATTCAGGTAGACAACTACACTTAAAGTATATAATAAATAATAAATATAATGAATAAATGATATTCAAGTGTAATATCATGTTTCTCGTGATGGGGAAATTACGCCACTTGTGAAAATATATCCTTCCCCCTACTCAATGAGAGAAACATATTTCACTCGACACATGGACTACCCTCTATATATGTTGTTACAATCAGCAAATTAAATTTTGGAGGATCTTGTGGCAGGCAATTTGAATTCTGAGGCAGTTAATGCTTGTACAAAGCCTGACCATTTGGGGTATTGTGTGGACACAATGGTGTGGTGTCACGGATCAGTACTGGCATGTGGTTTGTCTGTGCCAGACTTGACCATGTTCCACTGGTCATGGTGTCTCCTCCTGACCCACCTATGCTGGTTGCCATGGAGATGTAGAGACATTTGACAAGCGACCAAAGGTAATATGGTGTCCATGATCAAATCCTTCAGTACAAAACTAAATATCTTGATTATTAGTTTGTATTTTGTTTAACGCCGCACTCAGCAACATTCCAGCTATATGATGGTGGTCTTTGAATAATCAAGTCGAGACCAGACAATCCAGTGACTGACATCATGAGCATCAACCTACGCAATGGAGATATGATGACATGCATCAACCAAGTCAGCGAGCCTGACCACCCGATCCAGTTAGTTGCCTCCTACGACAAGCATGGTCGCCTTTCATGGCAAGCATGGGTTGCTGAAGACCTATTCAAACATGGATCTTTGCAGGTTTCGTGATTATTAGGAAAAACTCAGAGTTACAAGATGTCTTAAGTATCATTAGTGATCGTGTATTCATATAAGGCTCAATTAAACAAATTCTCTTTGTGTAAAATTTATGAACACATAATTTAAACAATCAAGCAAAAATTTTGAGATTGCATGTGAAGTGTTTGGTAGTGCAAGTGAAGATATTATATACAGACTGCCGGAAGGTCCAATGGGGGTGACAATGTGTCGGAAAGAGGGGAGAGGGAGGGGTTGTTATTTTGGGTGTGATGCACAAAAATCCAGAAAAGTTGTCAGATAGTTTGTGTGAGCCGTCATGATTGATATGTTTACACATTGTGTGGAAAGCCATGAAATTATTATTTATTATGTCGTGGCTTTTTATATTAGCGTTAGCGGTGTCAGTTTACAACAACACAATTTTGCTATCAAAACCAAAAACTGCAAAAAATATAAATATATCACCAATGCAACTGAGTGAGATGTCCTAATTTGCGTCATTAAACCAAGGTACAGTTACCTCCCCTTGCTGGCTTGCCAATTGTAAAATTAAGAAAATGTGAAGTTTCTACTCGCTTTGTACTGCATGGAACGATCATGTCGGACAGGGCACAGATGGTTAACTGTCGTAAGAGTTGGATACTTTTCAAACTTTCACAATAAACTTTTCACACAACATTTTATGGTTTTTGTGATTTGAAACAGACTTGTAGTTTCTTGAAGCACGGATACAGACGCCAGCCGAACTAACGACTACCGGATTGTCATGACCCCTCATTTCTGAAACGCAGCTCGTGAGATGGAAGCCATTATCTAATAACCAGTCAGGGCCAAATATTTGGTCAATTCATTTCTGTTGAAGGAAAAGCCATTTAACTTGTGTCTTTTGTTTGTTTGAGAAAC